AAAAATCGTGGATCAGGAAAAAAAAAAGTGGATGTATATGTATAAATATATACATATTTTGTCTTGTACAATAACCTACAATAAGTGGAGGTAGAAGGCAAATACTCTGAATTTTTCCTGGAATAAGGTAAAACTAATAAGGTTTTGCCTAGACCTAGAAAGAACTTTTTTTGCTTTTCCTCCAGACGGAGCTGTGATACACTTCTGTGTGAGAACAGAGGGAGATTCTCACCAGCCTTTGAAGATGACTAGTAAACCAGTTTGGAACTAGAAGGTGCAGAAAATCAATATTGACCTGGCACAAAATGGATCTCCGTTACTTAAAAAAAGATATAGGTGGAGATAGTTGGAGAAAATTGAGGCTATAATACATAAAACTACTGATATTCTAAGGCACTAGAATTTCCATAATCTTAAATTTACATGCACCTATCCATAATCTTAAATTTACATGTACTTTTAAAATACCTTTTAAATATCAATATCTTTCAAATATCACAAATGTCTTCAAACACTGTTTAATTTTGCTGTGAGTGGCATAGGGGTTAAAGCTCAAAAATACTTTTATGACATGTTAGGACAGAATTCTGTAGATTTTGATGCCTTAACTTATAATGACTGTTGTTATGTGAAGTAACTGTTGCCTTGGAGGTTGGATCCTTAGTTCAGGAGATGAGAAATTATAACATTTTCTTCGATAGATTCTACTAAATRTTTCATGGCATTCTGGAGCGACAGCTCAAAATTACAGAGATAGAAATTCGAAAATTTTAGGTTTCTTAGTCTTGGTAGTTTACTCAAAACGGCTGAGATGCTAAATTACTTGAGATTTCAGATGGTTTTATCCAGTAAATATTTATAGTAGAAGGGTATATGGAGACCTGAGAGTTAATAGAGAAACTATAATGAAATTGCAAAAGAAAACTCTTCCTTTAAAAAAGAAAAAAATAAAGCTTAGAGGTCTTTTTTTGTTTTTCTTGAAAAAAATAGTATGAACAGGCTGTGAGAAGATTGAAGATGTGGTTTACCTGACATATTGTTAGAACTTAAACACTAAGCATTTACAGTTGTTGAAATGTATATACTTATGTTTATTACAGTGAATTTATGCAGAGCTAACCAGCAATTCTCATCCAGATGTTTTTGCCACTTGCTGTATTGTGGTTAACCTAGTTGAGCTTAGTACGAACTGCTGAATCCAACAAAAAAAAATTGCATCAGCTGGGATGTGCAGCAGGGAGTAAAGGTCCCAGTCAGAAATAAATGTGCTGTTTGCCAGATAAGTCTGTTTCTATAACCTACTTATATATGATGCAAAAGCTAAAAATAAATTTTCTCTTCTAGAGAAAAGAACTTGGTGTTGATTTCCTGAGCCTCCCTTTTACAAAGAACTGTTATGAGAAGGACCTGGAGCTGGTGACAGTTACTCATCCTGTAGCTCCGTCCCTGGCACAGCTTTTGCCTGTGTAAACTAGGGCTCTTCCCAGACAGCGCTTGGGCATCATCCAGATGTCCATATGGCCTAGGAACTATTTCTGACTGACAGCTGGGTTATGGCTATGCTGTTTTGGGAGAGGAAACCTTGGCTAACTGTATGGGTGCAGACCGTGAGCAGTGTCTGGGCTGCACAAGCCCATTTTGTTTGCCGGACAGCCTTTGTTCCAAAGGCAGGAATCTGAGATTCCTCCTCCCGTACAGTTAGCTCTAGCTTGGTAACAAGAGAGCAAGTTCTTCATTTAATTATCTTTTATTTTTTCCCCCTTCCCCCGTCCTGTCTTCTTGTTTGCAGCAGTAAGGCAGTAACACCTTGCCAAGTACTGCCTTTGGAAGTTATTTTCTGGTCCCTTCCAATTATATGCATAGCCAGAAAGTCTAAAATCAGTTTAGTTTAAGGCTTTGGGGTTAGTTTGTCACTCTTTGCCTTCCTGGCTGCAGGGCTGCTCACCTGCAAGAGGAGACAGCATTCGCAGGCCAGCAGCACTCCACGATGCCAGGATTGGGGCACTGCCATCGGATGCTAGGCCAGTCCCATTGGTGTGGTGAAAGCCTAAGCTGAGGTTTCCTGCTTACAGCCTACAGGCTGTTGTACACAAGGTAGGCTGTAGTATTGCTCATGGGGTACCTGTTAGACAGCCTGAATCCCAAGAGCACAGAAGCCTCTATTAGTTTCCTGTAGTCTAGAAAAATCAGGCAAACGTGTCCAGCTCAAGGAGAAGTGACGAAGCTGAAACTGATAGCATCGGAATCTCCCTGTTGTGGTTTCCAGACACATTGCTTCTCTCCACTGATGCAACAGGGATTTGAGAGATGTGCCCTTAGTGCTGAAGTTGAGCACCTGAGTCAGGCTGACCAGACTCACTCCAAAGGTTTGCTGGTTCGTACTCACTCTTAGCAGAGTCAGCAGAAGGACTCATCYTTTTTGTTGTTTTGGGAATCAGTCTGTTTTGTGGTCTTTGTGGAGTTGCAGAAAAAGCCTCATTTCTCAATGCAGATCATGCTTGCCAATTAGCAAGGCTGTTGGCAAAGGTCAGGATTTCTGCCCTGCAGGTAGGATGAGCTCTCCTACTGGCCAGGTGATTTCTCCCACTGATAAGAAAAAATATTAATATTTTTCAGTTTCTAGTAACGGTGAAACTCAAACTGATTTGTGTGAGATCTGAGGAAGCATGCAGTRTTTGGAAAAGCAGTAAGGGGTTGATTCCAGTAGGAATTTGATAGCGGCAGGAATTTGTATATTGCCCAAGTAAAATGTTCAGTCTTTTACCAAGAAGAAAAATGATAATGTTTTCCAAAGGCTGCACAAAGACCCAATGTTCCTGTAAGTGTTGCATACTTTAGTAGAATGATATATTTTCTTTTCAGAGCGACAGGTACAATTTATATGCCATTTTATGAGAAGATGCTCACACATTTGTTTCTTGATGTTTATTAAACACTGAAAGCACTGCAGTGAAAAAATAAGTAGTAGAGGGAGATGTTTCAGTAGTTGAGTACTGCTTCTTTTATAGAAGAATTGTTTCCAGTACAACAGGGTTGATGATGGAGTTATAGAGTGAGTATATGTTTCTTTTCGTACTTCCTTTATTTGTCATTAATCAGTAAGGTAGGAAGAGCTGTCTTTATACTACAGCATTTTTCTTAGAATTGTTTTACATTGAGTTATTTTTAGTCTACATTTGGTTGTCCATGTAGTTTGTTTTCAGCTACTTGGAAGTTTTGTGCTATTCAAGAAATCATATTTGTGTTGTTTCATGTTTTCGATCAATCTCCAGACTATTTAAAGTTCTGTTAATTAAAAATAAAAAAAAAAAAAAAACCCACACAGTTTATGAACATTTCCTACTCATCTTATGCTGGTTTTATGTCATGCAGTGTGAGTTTCATCAACTATTAGCACAGAATTTTTCCTCCGTTTATATAATGCAGCTTTTGTATATGCTGATTACATACTTTCATGCAAATTAATTTAGACTAAATTAAAGGAAATACTTTTCCCCTAGAGTATATTCAGCTGTAGGGCCTCATTGGGAGATATATTTTCAACTGGAACTTGTAATTTGGCATAAGAAGCCACTGAATTAAGTATTGTTGCCAATTTTAAAGGGCCCTTAGCTAGCACAAAATCACAGCCATCTCTTAGTGTCATAGTCTGTTTAAAATCTGGAGGAATATGATGAAATCTTTACTTGTCTTTTTACTTCATATATTTGATTGTACCTTGAGTTTTCCTGAATTTTTCTTCTTCCCCTACAGTAGCATTTTGAGGAAAGAAATGGCTTTTCTTTTAATTAAATAGCTTGATGTTTAATGATCCTCCTTTGAAATGAACTGCACAACRTGACGTAGTACACGCTAATGATACGTATCTTTGTTTACTTCAGTTGAGATTTAGAACTAATGTTGATTATGGCAAGAATCAAGAGCATTCTCTTTCAGGCATAGTTTCCAGATGAACTAATGAGTTATTCTGTTTTCTTCTGAATATGTTGCTTTTCTCTCATGTCAAAGGTTGGGTACCATAAGCTAAGATCGATGTGCAGTTGCTGTTGCAAACCTGTAATAACTTTATTGACTGAATATATCTTTCCCGMCAGTGCTCACTGATTCTACAGTAACTCCATGCAGACCATGCTTGCTTTGTTGGTTTAGAAGGTGTTACAAAAAAACAGTGAAAAACCTAACTTGCTGAAGTGTATGTGATAACTGCACCCTCTTCATATCTCAGGGCTTTTTAACTTGTCAGAAAGGGAAATTAAGCAAGCTTGGTGAGACTGGTTTTGGACAAATGCATGTTGACATTTACTTATTGTCTTTTTGATATTCCCTCCCCACTGAGGGAATAAAATAAGACTTCTTTTTTGTCCAAAGTCTGCTGTCTTTCTGCTTCCATGTCTCTTATTTTTGCACATTGGCAGTTTCAGCAGAGTAAGAGCAGTGCCAACCTTGAGTGAGAGAGGTCTCTGAACTTCATTTTCCACTACATCCCCTGTTATTTAGTTATTCCATTATGTGGAACATACCAGTGCTTTATAGCCCTTGGAATAGTTCTCCCAGGTCAGTACTTGGCATAGGATGGGAGACACAAGGGGATCGTTTTGCAGCTTCTGCTAAAGGTTTACCAATTATGTGACTAAATAGACCATGTAGCCTTGGAGCGTCATTTTAAAGGACAGTATTCTCATAACTTCACTTGTAGTGGGATGGTTGGTAGGGTATTTGTTTGGTTTCCTTTCAAAATGATTTACAAATGYTAATGAATACCCAGTAGGATATGGATATACTTTCCTAATTTGTAGATGTGAATCCAAAGCATAGAGCAGGACTCAGTTGCTGACCCATCCGTGTTAAACACTCATTATGTTGCCTTGGGCATCTATATCTGTAGCCATTTTCAGTGCTGAATAAAAGCAAACAGTAAGCATCAAGCTGTAATTAGCAATATCACGAGAAACTTCAGATACACTTTTTTTTTAACAGAATTTCTTTTCTTTGTATTGTAGAATCAAAAATGGCGACTGAGTTGAACAGGAGAACCAGGACACTCCAAAAAGTAAGTCGAAGATGACTACTCAATTCTCTCTTCTGCAGGCCATAGTCCACCTCCTTATATATAATTATGAAATCAAATAGCCCATTTTTTGATTGCACAGGGAGCRTATGCAGTCTAGAACTGTTTTACATTAACTGATTTCAAGCCACACGGTTTAGGGCGCGTTGTCAAAGGTGGATAATTGTCTGCTTTTCTCCTCATTCTGTCTATGCATAAACTTGCTCCAGACTGTGTCCTGTAGTTGCTTTATTAATGTTGCTGTAGCCTTGATGGTTGGAGGATGTGAGAAGCGATGAGTTTGTAGGGCAAAGCTTTACCTCTTCTTATGCTGCCTCTGATAAAATCTGAAGAGTCAGACCAGCTACAGCCACACAAGCAGGGCTGGAAAGGGCCTTTGGGCTCAGACTTTGTTTATATTCTCAGTATTATCAATGGTGTAAGGAAAGCTTTAATTTTTGCAATGGCTGATGAGTGTTTTTGAGAATATTTAGAGCAGTTATTCAGAGAACTGTGTACATTTATGGCTTAGTTGAGTTTCTTCTGTTTTGGGCAAGAAATATGGAGATATTTTTCAGTAGTATTTTAGATAGCAAGCTTTGAAGCTAATCATCTCWTTTGGAATCAATTATGTAAGACCTTGGCAAATTTTGAAGACATAGGCTTGGAAGTGTCTCGGACAGACCATTTCATATGGGTGGCAACTTTTACATCACAATTGTAATAACAAAACCTAAAATAAATCTGAGTTTAGTTTCACATTGGCTAACAAATGGACTTATTAGGAGATTATGTGAAGTTTTCTCTGTATTGTTGAGTCAACTTTAAATTTCCTATAAATCTCCAAATTACTCCTTAATTTACTTTACCTACTAAGGGATGATTGTGTATTTAGCGCCTGGGCTTTGAAATGATTGATTACTCCTGTTTGTCAACCAGCCTTGATATGTGGGACTTTTTTTCGTTTTTCTAACCTTTTTCTTTTATTTGCAACTTTAATTGATACCTGTGTTGCTTTTTCTAAAAAGTAAATAATTTTGCAGATTCACTTTTATTTAATGGAAGATTTCTATTAAAAATAAAAAGAAAAAAAAAAAAAAGAAAAACTGTTGAAACATGTGTCAGGCATATGCAATTCCTTCATCATCATGTTTTCCACACTGTCTTAATAGTTTTTGAGTCTCTTCAAATATTCTTTACTTCCAAGACCTGTTTCATGGCAATAAATCTTCTTTGCTGTAAAATTSCTGAAATGATTCAGTGTGATGACTGTCTCTTTTGAAAATTCCCTGAGAGTTAATCGTTAGAAATGCATAATTAGAAATACAGTTCAGTTTTCTTCTCTGTGCTGCAAGTTTTATAGCTCTGGTCGAGYTTGTTTTGAAAATTATTATCAATAAATGGCTAATGTTTGTCCTGGCAAGCAACTGTTTTCCAGTTCCTTTTCCAGTTCCAGTGCTCCTTTCTCTTCTGATCTCTATGTTAGTAATTTATTTTTATTATTATTTTTAATAATAGTAGTATATTATTACTATTATTATTATTTTATTATTATTTTAATTTAAAAGCAGCATTCTGTCCTGTTAGATATACTTCTAAATGCCATATCAAAATATTGACTAGTGGTGACTAGTGCCTAGTCAGGCAAGGAACAAAAGCTAGGCACAGAGCAAGACAACTCCTTGCTTTTGTTTTTTAAGAGAGAGCAACTTTTTCTTGAAGCTGATTCTGAAAGCATTAAGGGAATTCCTGTGAGGCTCTTGGATGGTGTGCATTGTGGGCTTTTTCTTGTGCTAATATAAAAAGATGGAGCTTGAACAGCTTTTAATATCTTCCTTTTGTACAGTGAGGATTAGTCGTAGCTCCGGGGCTCTCAGGATGCCTATGTTGGTCAATTTTTAAATTGTATCAACAATTAGTTACTTCAGTTATGTCGTCAGAATTCTGTGTTTCCAGTTTGTATTTCCTTGAGATTGTCATCAGAGATTTGTTCCGAAACCACAGGACCATATGGAGAAAAACTCCCAAATGAATGGCACAGTCTTTGGTGTAGCTTAAAATTTAATAACTTGCTAAGTATGCGAGGACAAATAAATTGCATTATCTGTCCTGTCATTCCTGGAAGGTGGCCAAAGCTTCCATAATCCCTGTGGCATTATGACAACTGGCTGTTCAAATCAGACTTTTTTAAATGGCAGTTGCATAAGAAAGGAAATCATCAGTTCATACTGAGTACTGAATATTGGATTTACCAAAGGCAATCTGTGAGATAGCTTGTCTGGAATATGGTATGTGCAGAGAAAAGGGAGCTGTGCATTTGCCAAAACCTTCAGCACAAGTGGAGAAACTGTGATTAAAAACACGCTGTGAGATACAGAATTACTTGATGACCGTTGGACTTAACGATTTCTAGCTTTGTTAAATACTGCTGTTTTCTTTCCTTGGTGTTTTAAGTTGGACATCACATATTGCACRTAACGTTTCAGGTCGTTCTGCACTGAGAAGAACAAGTTATTTTGTTCTGGCATTGGCAAGGTAGCTCTGGCATTAACTTCATTCCATCGCCCTTCCTCCATGGAGGAGGACCTGGGCTTTCTTAAAATATTCAGGCTTTGGGCACCTGCATCCCTGATCCTCCTTCAGCTCCTCTGGATAGAATAGAAAGCTTTACAGTCCTTGCCAGGGTTTGCAGTAGATTCTTGTAGGCAACTGAGTGCTACCCTTGCTGTGGAAAAGGGAACCTTGGTAGTGCTGGCTATGCAGAGAGAACTCTATTTAAGCCATACATTTTAATCATGTATTTTTCTTGCATGATATAAACCTTGTGGTTTCAAGTCTTGTGCTCCCGAATTATCCAAAAGCTTTGGCTATGTTTTTAGATGCTTCTAATCATAATTCCTTCACTTCAAAAGTGAAGAGAAATCACAGAATCATAGAATGCTTAAGGTTGGAAGGGACCTCAGAGGTCATCTAGTCCAACCCCCCTGCACACRCAGGGTCACCTAGAGCACGTGGCACAGGGCTGCATCCAAGTGGGTTTTGAAGATCTCTAGAGGAGACTCCACAACCTCTCTTGGCAGCCTGTTCCAGGGCTCTGTCACCTTCACTGTTAAGAATTTTTTCCCTAAGTTCCTGTGGAACTTTTGGAGCTTCAGTTTGTGGCCTTTTCCTCTRGTTCTATCAGTGGCCATCGCTGAAAAGAGGCCACCCCATCCTCCTCACTCCCTCCCTTGAGGCATTTGTATACCGTGATCAGATYCCCCCTCAGCCTTCTCTTCTCCAGGCTGAACAGGCCCAGCTCTCTCAGCCTTTGCTCATAGGGCAGATGTTTCAGGCCCCAATCCTTCACTTAAAACAAGATCGGAGGTTATCTTTTGCATTTCCTAATTTTGCATTTCATAATGSGAATACGTTGGATCATGTCAAAATATTCATTCTTGCTAATGCCTTGGGAAAGAATCAGTAATTTGGAGAGTTATTCTGTCCATATGTGTAAAAGCACGGACATTTTTAGAATTGACGGGAATCTCCTCTATGAAAAACCTATCATTTGTTGGCTGATCATATGAAGAGCTGTGGTGGACTAAAAACCCCTCAGCAGATGAAGGGCAGCTTTTTACTGGCAAATGAAGTTCTAACTTCTATGCCTGTGGGAAGGCAACTTAATCATTGTTGTTCCTCACTCTGTTACTTGTAAAGTGAGAGTACATGGTGCAAAAGGAGGCAAGCCACCAAGAGGTCAKTGTTATTGGATGGATATGAAGTAGCCACCAAGACGGGCTGAGTGCTATTCAGAAAGAAACTCTTCGTTTGACAGTGGTGTCTTCTAGATGACTTGCAAAGATAGAACCACAGCTTACTTTTAATAAAGAGCACTTTTAATTTTTGTCAGATATGAAAGTATCTGTAAGTTTAGCGTGTGCTTTGCAAAGAGAAGAATATGTGTATAAGTGTAGCTATTAAATTTCCATGTAATTATACATATGTATATAATTAACCAGTCTGTGCCTGGTGGCTTCATACATGAAACTCTGRCACACCCGTGGCCCTGGGGGGTTTTTATGCATGCTTTTTAGGAGTGCTTCCCTTGTCACATGAACACGAGCTGCATTGCTTTAGTCCCTGTATCCTAAACTACAGGAAGCCCCAGGGACCAGGAAACTTGTTTCTTTTTGCCCCTTTTCTGTAGTAGTGCAGCTGTTACAGCAAAGCTTTCTACAAGTGGGGAAAAGATACACGAGGCAGTATCAAAAAGCACTTGTTTTCAGACCACTCAACCTTTTTTTATTCTGAAAGGTTGCAAATGTACCTGGAAACTGTTTTTCACCTGAATTGCAAGCCGAAAATTTGAATTCGGAGAGCAGACAGGCAGCCGTTCATAGCTTATAGTTGTCCTCACTCTAAATGTCTCTCTTAATCCTCAAGGCAATGTTTTTACATGGACACACACAGAATAACAGGGTCTTAAATGTGCTGTTGCTTCCACCTGCACAGGCTGCAGTGACAGTTGCCTCTTGATGCTGCAGAAAGCGYCAGGCAGCAGCTGGGTACTCATCTTAGACCTCTTTCTGTGGTGATGTAGGGTGGAAATGTATATTCTTTATTATGTTCATATTTTTGCATGGATAACACTTAACATGAAATCTAGAGGCTAACAAATCACCATTTGACATTATTTAGCTTGTGTTCTCCCCTCTCTGAAGCTAGTGTCTATAGCTCAGGGTATGGGAACCTGTGTCCTGAAGGCTGTATATGACTCACCACTATTTCGTATAGCCCACTATCATATTTTCTTTCCATGTTAATACTGAGTAGTACTAACATGTCTGTTAACACACGGCCTGCCAATTACTTTTAAAAGCTTTAGCCCTTAGCTAGAAAAAAAAAAATCCTGCTCGGAACTGTTAAATCACAACCCATTTTCCCTCGGGACAGCAAGTGCTTCTGAGCCAGCCAGTATGGGTAGAAATAAGTCTCTGTTCCTAACGTTACCCTGTAGAGGG